CCAGGCTTTTCAACCCTAGTGGAGTGCGACACATATTTGCCAAGGTATTACCAGTTTATGGTAGGAAAAGTCTCCAGAATGTTGTGCCCAAGAGTCTATAAGAGCTCCGTTTCTGAATGCAAAACTTGGGCGTTAAAATTCTGTCGCGGTCATTCAGTTGACGAAAGACAGTGGTTACGAGGACAGAGTCGTACGCGACGTTCGAATTGGATGTGTCACGCAGGTGTTCTAGGTATTTTTCGTGCAATTTGGACCGGGACAGGACACAAATGTGAAAATAACCACATTAAGAACCTTAAGACCACTCTGAGAGCTCTAACTCACGCTATGTCTATTTCACAAAGTATGATGCGAGTTCTCGACGGAAAAATTGTGTATTTATTCAAAATTACTGATCAGATGAACAGCAAACTAAACTTTTTGTCTCAGGATTTAAAAATGGTTCAAAGTACCTTTAATGACTGGCAGAAACAGCTAGAAAAATTTTCCAATTCAGCCAAATGCCGCGAAGGAATGACAATGGAATTTCTTTCTAAGTATACCGCTGAAATTAATCGTGCTTTTGCCGCTTTTCTAAGACTTTTTGAAATCCAAGATACTTTGAGTCAGATATCCCATCTACATGAAAAATCATTAGTAGGTTATTCCGATTTACCTAAGTTTATGTCTTCCCACTTGTCTGCCAAACTTTCTACTGATCATTCATTGAGGTTGACTATAACAGCATTAGAACAAGGTTTGTCTGTTCTGGCTAGCCCAATGGTCGATGTCGAACACAGCGGTCAGGATTTGCCTGTAGATATCTTATTGTTAGCACCAGAGATTACAGATAAAAATAGTTTCTGCGTCGTACAACATTTAACTCCACTCAAGTTTAATATTTCGGGAAAATGTTTTCAGGGCCTGTCCAACACACAAACCTTGCTTTAATTAATTGTCCAAGTTCAAGGCAGGTAGTCTCTTTAGACGAATTAGATAGGTGTTTTAGAAGTGAAGTAGGTTTCTTGTGCCCTAAGAATGTATTAAAGACAGTTTCTAGCTTGCAATGGTTAGGTTTTGCTTGGAATCCAGACCTGAAACTTTCTTTCCCGCGAAACCATCAACCAACTTCGAAGTGCGACCATATCCACCCATTGGCTCATCTTGGAGGCAGATATTTTCTCTCCACCACTTCTGGAACTTTAGCTTTGAGCAATGGCGAGCAACTTAACATTTCTCCGTTGGCCATCTATAACTTCCCTTGCAACGTTAGCTTCATTGGAATGCAGACTAGTTTGGGAACTTGTCCCCAAAGACTAATGGTATCATTACCTTTATTTTCAACGGACACACTTTCATATGTTCAGTGGGATCCCAACTCAGATGATTTTCCTACATTGAAGTTACATCATAAGTCATTGACCATCCCTCCCCCTATCAAGACTAATCATATAGTGATCGACAACTTCGATGAGTTGTTCCAACTTTATGATAGCCAGCTCAGTGGCACTTTGCAGAAGGCAGACAGTTTGATTGATCAGATAGAGGAAACTACTCAGTTCACTTACATCGAGTATATTACGTTCATTGCACCTGGTCTATCAGTGGTAAATTTCATTGTATTCTGTGTTCTTTGCCGGTGCATCTCCAGAATATCTGTGCGACACTCCACACCTGCCAGCCCACCTACCTTGCTAACAGCAGTTGCAGAGAGTCACCAACATAAAACCTGCACACATTGTTCAAAGCACAGAAGGATCAACCGTCTAAAAACAACATCCGCAGAACAAAGTCGTACAACACACAAACCCGGAGAGAAAAGAAGTAAAGACTACCCAAGACAAGTCATTCAAGGAACTGAACTGAATTGAACTGAACTGAACTATTGTTTTCCTTTTCTTTTATTTAAATGATGAACTGTGTGATAACCTAAACTTTCCTTCATTTTTCTATAATTATAAACGAGGTATCCGCCATTCAGTTCAAGAAAACCAATTCTGCGAAATATTATTTATTTTAAAGATGAGAGGTTACCTTTCTCTGGCGCTTAGCCTTTTAATCCGCGCGTCACGCGAGTGCGAAAACGTCTTCATTTTCAAAGACCTTTGGTTCGCAAGTAGCGTAGTTCAATTTCGATTAATGACCACTTGATTGGATTAAGCCTTAATTGATAGGTAATTAAAAAAACAAACAAACAAACAACAAAAAAAAATTAATTATTTCGTATCAGATAAGTCAAGTTTTCCATGTAATCTTTCCCTACCGTCCGCATCGAGGACGATGCTTAATTTAGGCGGGGAGGAATGTTGTAGAGCGTTTTCAAGGATTGATATTCCAAGTATTTTTAGGTTTGCCTTTTGTTTTTAAGTCTCGCCTTTTCGCCCCTACGTGCTATTTTGATGAATCTATCTATCTGTCTATCTATCTATCTATCTATCTGTCTGTCTGTCTGTCTGTCTGTCTGTCTATCTATCTATCTATCTATCTATCTATCAGATATTGTTCTTAATATGAAACTAAAATTATTGAATGCCATGTAGCATTTTGGGAATCATGACAAATGTTTCTGTATTGATCAGCTGCCATTTGTATGCCTGGCTTTGTTTTGTTAGCAACTTACATGTACTTTGGTCGAGAGAGATCCATAATTTTTAAAATCCACAAAAATTAAAACCTGCAAAATGTTCAATGCTGTGTGTTATGACCAAGTTGTTATCACTCTTGGATTCAGTNCTTACCGTGCTAGACATTTTAATCTCTTGTTATGGTTGAGGATAACTAGTTTGCTAGGTGGTCATGTTTGAGTTGGTAAAACTGACCTTGAGTCTTACCCACACTGAACATCCTGTTTTGGAAATTCCCACGGTTAGCTAACCCAAACATGTCTGTGATTTTTGTATTTAATACTGGAGCACTCCTTGCTGAAAGTAGTAGAAAATAAGCAGTGGAACAAGAGAGAGAAAATTAGCTGTAATAGAAGCAGCAGTTTAGGAGAATAAAGAAGAAAATTACAGAGTCTCAGTACCTCTTGTTAATTCGCCAAGCGAGTGGTAAAACCCCCACAACACTTAATTCATTTTCATTTATTTATTTCGTCTTTGTTTCTTGGTTTGTTCAACTATATCTTGATAATCTTTTCAATAATATATTTACAATTTCTAATCATAAAACGAAGTGATGAGAAATTTAAAATATTTAAAAGGAAATTGAAGGCAAGATCTCTATGAACTTAACTGAAAACCAATGAGTAAATTGAGTTAGTTTCATTGGAAAAATAACATCATTTACCTTCCAATTACAATAATAATAAACTTAAAATATGTTGGTTTGACGAAAGGTGAAAGTAATTGTGTTATAATTTTGAGAGAGAAGGATACTACTTTGAAATAGTCATAGAAGTGACACTTGTTTGAAGCAGTCAACAAAGTTAATTTGAAAACGTTTCTTGGAAGGAAATGAGTTGTCAACGTGTCTCCAAGATTAGTTCTTAAGTTTTTGTACCCAGATTAACTCGGTATTCAAAACGAGCGAGAGCGTGGGAACGAGACGTCAAGAACTTGAAAATGAAACGTGGCGATTACAAGCCCTAGTTTCCATGGTGGCAGCCCAAGTGAAGGCCCCCTTCCATAAGTTCCTATGAATCAGCTACCCGTTTTCTTAGCCGGGGTTTCCCGCTTAAGCGAGAGTCTGTAGTTGTCTTCCTCGGAGTTAAAAGAAGCGTTTAGGAGAAAGTGTCCGACAAACGGACGGCTAACGAAGTCGTACTGAATTGCAGCGATCTGGTAAGCCCATAATTGTTTCTCTGTACCTGAGTAGTAACAAAACAAAAAAAATAAGAGAAAGAAATAAGTTACATCTTAAGTACTTAATCATGAAACATCTCACTTTGTATGACCCAACTGGCTCATTCATAACCAATCTTAGACAGATTTCCGATGCATGAAATGACTAAGAGTACATAAAGCACCTCCCCCCACGATGATATGCTAGTCCACCGCAAAGAGTCTTGCCTCCCCCTCCACCCACCCTACCCAAGCAGTTCATCAAAGTTACTCTGACAGTTCGCCAGTACCCATTTTAATCTCAAAGGGAGACGAGTGAAGAGTGTTGCCCTTGAGCACTACGCAAATGCTCACGCCGGTTACCGGGCCTAATTTGATCATGGAAAGTAGCAAAATCCCACTGCTCATAGATCAGCAGTTACTACAGTTACTGATCTTACTATTACTAATAATCCAATTGCTAGGAGACATTTTGCCCACTCACCTGATTGTAACTCGTGACTGCTGGTCGGTGGCGAATAATTCGTCACTGAGCTGTAACTGGAGGAGACGACTTCGATCTGAGGGGATCTGTCGAGGGGGCTTAGGCTGAGTTCTGGGGAGAGCCTGCCACCTTCCTCTACTGACGGACTACTTTGAGATTTAGCCAGTTCTTTGAATTTTACACTGTTTGAGTTCTCCGCGACTGATAAAGTGCTCAGACTGACGGTGAGTTTTTCATTGGAAGGTCCCCGTGAAACCCTTCCTTCCTTCACTGACTGACTACTCGGCGTTCTTCGAACCAGTCCCTTTAGAAACGCTCGCCGACTCTCGTTCGATTTGGTCTCCGACAAACGCCTATTAGGCTTCTTCGAAAACGACACCCCATTATGATTCGAAGAAGTTTCAGAAAGTCTCCTCAACAGAGAAGGTTTACTGGAAGTGCGCGCGTTACCATTCCTCGCACTCCGAGGACTATCATTCAGCGAGCACGTGCTGTTGATCACCGAATCTGTACTCGAAGTCATAACTTTATGAGTATCGCCATCAGGAATGTCTAAAACCTCAGCACTATTGTTCCTGCTACGATTCAACATGACACCACTATCATTTATACTCTGTCGGTTGTGAAACCGCCATAGTTTGCTGCGTGACGGCGTCCGCTTCACTTTAGCGGTCCGCTTATCATTTGAATCCACCGTGACACTTTCTTTGTCACGCGGTGAGCTCTGTTCGTCAGATGACACATTCACGTTGTTTACACTGAGACTGGTTATGCTATTGCGTTTTGGAGTTTCACCGTTGATTATGGCTCCATCCGTCCTATCGAGTTTACAGTTTCGTGCCGACAGCGGAGATTGTTTACCTCCTTTCACACCGTTTTTTCCTTTATAAGCCAAGTATGTGTGAGTCTGAGCAATTTCCGTTAAAAAGTTTCCAAGGAATGGTATACAAGGGCCGTTTTCCAAACAAGCGGAGAGTTCTGCACGATACAGCCTGAAATTCTCACTTTCTCCCATGAGAATAGATAGGTCTCGAAATTTCCTGAGAAGTAAAACGACGATACAAAAATTAACAAACATGTGTAACCAAACCGAAAAAAAAAAAACAAGCAAACAAATTATGCGACATGTGATGTTCGCCCTACTCCACTTCACTCAAAAAGCCTTCGTCAAAATCTATGTCCGATCCCACACCTCTGAAGAAAACATTCATTCCAATTGAAGAGAATCTTACTTTTTCTTCTTTGAAGGCACTTCTTTCCAGGTTTCTTTCAGTCTGTAGACGGGTGTGGACTGGAGACCAGCCAAAAGAGCCTTGAGAGAATTGAAGTTTCCCAAAAGTTGGCACTTTTCGGCGATCTGGGAAAAGGAACGCATTCAAGAAAACATGAAAAAAGAAGATAAAAAAGAACAACACGCGATAACGACTGAGAACTAAAGAAGAACTGTGAAATCGTAGATACCTGGATGACTTTAGAGATTGCTCTGGCCCGTCCTGGAGTTGTTTCCTGAGAGAGAACTTCAGACGCAGCTAAAAGGGCGATGCGGTTGAAAAACTCCACCATTGCCATCACATGTGGGGAAGTCACGTACTGCAATGAACAATAAAAAACTCAACAATGACCAACAGAAACAAGCTCGTTTATTTGGCTCGTCCTAGCGTTTGTCCACCTGGTCGATCGTTAATCCGCTCGTTTTTCGCCTCATATTCGTTCGTTTTTCTCCTTATATTCGTTCGTACACTCGCCGTCTGTAATCGTTTATTTTTTAGCATATTGTCTCTCATTTACTTGCTGACTTGTTTGTTGATTCACTCACCCATCTCTACAGAATGAAAGAGTGGAAATACACTAGATTTACTCCTTGAGATTCCACTGATCTTCGTAGATCGAATAAAGATCTGTTGTTGTCACAGCATGCTGAAAAACTTTTTGACAATAAACTTATTACTGAGTTTCTTTCTTGTTCTCTTTGGACATAAGCGTTTCTCCCTTGCTATGAAAAAAGCAACAAACCACCACACATACGTAAAACAAGCTGTGTGCGGCGCATGAAAACAGGTTTTCACGCTACCTCCAGTATCACTTTAACACGTGTACCAGGACATCATCGCGCTGAAAAAAGGTGAACACCGATGAGATCTATTTCTTTACCTTATCTTTAGTCATCCACCCACAGTTGGCCAGCTCAGGCCAAGGAATTCTGACAAATAGTTCTTTGTCAATGAGTGTGATTTCTCGCGCAAACAGCGAAGCGTCTATATCGACGAGGCGCTGAGAGAGATCTGGGGAAGAACTGTCCACTGAGTCGGGGCTCTGAGGAATCTCGCCTGTTGGACTGGTAGCCTGGTTACTTATTTCTTCTTCTTGAGAAGTGGCCTTGAATATTGGAGACAAAATTTTCTTGACCAGCTTCTTCTTTTTCATGCTTCCTATAACACAGAACAAGAAGAATAGCGTTAGATCAAAAATTGGCGAAGACTAAAAAGAATTATAGCAAACCCTAAGAGACTCTTATTTACGCACCCGAAAGCAAATTGCATGTGACCGAAAGTACCCGAAAGTACCCGAAATCCTCCAAAAGCTGACGATAATCCTACGTAAGCCCAGAATCCTTCAAGATCTTAGTAGTAACAGAATACAATGCTGTTGCTTTCAGTTAATTCGTAATTGATTTAACCGCAATCTTATCGCAAAAATGATTATTTCGGTTTAATTTTTCATGACTCGATGGTTTGCACATTCATCTTTCCTCATTCCTTGTACACAAAGAAACAAAAAATATTGAAAGGGGATTGGCTCCTACAAAACGAGCCGATACATTTCATGAGATGATTGGTGCAAAGTTCGTCTGAATGCGTAAAATTACAGGCATTACCATTCAGTGATCTACGGTTTGAGTTCAGTGAGTGACGCAAGTGTTACCATGAAATACATGTGCTTCTTAAAGTTCAAGTTTTTTAGATTAAGCGGCTCCTGATCATGCGATGTAGAAATTTTCATCAGAATAACAAAATTTATTCGGGATTTAACTGAAATTGCTTAACTTGGCGTTGTGATTGGTCAATAAAACTCGACCCAGTCTCTTGAGCAATTGGACGCAAAACTAGGGCCAACCGTGTTTTAGTCATACGCACTGCCAGCAATTCTGAGATAGTCTGCTTCTGTTTACCGCGGGTTCTCACAAGGTCCCTGTGACATACACATCTATTTTTGGAAATGCCTGGCCGCTGCGATTTCTTATCGCTGGTTTTACGGCATTCAGTCTAAAGTCACTTTCAAAAATTCTTCTACTGTGAAAAAAATCTACAATTCCACTTCTCGTTGGAATCCTTTGAGAACCAAACAAAAGTTATGATGGCGGTGTGTGCAGCTAAAACAAAGCCCATATCCTGTGCCAAATCTGTCTTACTGTGTAAAATAGTTTGCTTTTGCGAGCAAGATTTGTCTGGACACGTCCCTAAAAATCCTTTCCTTTGTTTTAAAATATCAAGGCTCGCTAGAGGCTGGAAAATCGAATTGCACCACTGAACAACTAGTTCCTACCTATAATTCCACTTAAAAGGAAAAAAAATTGTATTTCTTTATAAGCCTTTCAGATCCAAAGATTGAAAAGGTCAAACTGTCGCGAAGTTTCCTTGTGTCAGAAAACATTATTCGTGAGGATTTCGAAAGGAATTGAAGAAAAGGTATTTCAACGAAAACGTTTGCCCCAATTCTCCAGCATTTCGTCGCAATCAATTGCCAATGCTAGGTACTTTAGTTAAAAAATCCTACAAAAACACGAATACTTCTTTTGTGCTACGTTACTTCCTTCCAAGTTATTGGGGTCATGTTCTCAGACAAATACGTGACTGGTGGGCTCCCAGATAAACACCTGTTTTGATCCGCGCAGCGGCGACTTACCTTACAACTCGTGAACCACAAAAAAATGAATAAACAAATAAAAAACTTAAAACTCCTCGTTCCTTCCGATTTACACCAAAAATGATCGAAGTTAATGTTTCTTTAACAACGGCCAACAAATTCCAAAAATATACCCTGGATAATTCGTTATCAAACATTTTTAAGAATACAGTGAACTGAGAAAAATTATCGCCATGAAAAGAATCACGTCAACGCAAAGGACCATGATTTTTACATACCTGGGATAATATTAAAATCAACCGCATTTATACTGAGTTTTTGCTCAAAGCTCCTTCATTGCGTCGAGCGAGTGGCCTTTTTAAACAGTTTTCCTTTGATCTAGACGTCCCGTGATATTTTAAGCTCACCATTGTCAATTCTACCAACTAAGATTTTTTCCCAAATAAAGCTTTGCTCTAAGTTTAGACTAGTTCTGTGCCGCCCGTCGCATCACGCAAGCGTCACGCGCAAAATGAGCTGAAACTGATCGTTTCGTCACGTCCGGTAAATCACGTTACAGGCGTGACAGATTCAAGTCCATTGCGTGTCGGTGTTCAGACTACGCGAAGTTTGCCGCCTGACAAAAGCATGCGAAACAAGATCTGGCGTGATTCTTTGAAAAAATTTCCCGCGGGCAGATAAATTTGATGACAAGTAAGTTTACACATTAACCAAAACGTCCGCGAACGATCCCTTCCCTTGTACGCGAGGATTGATAAAACCCAGTAAAAAACGAAAAATCTAGACACGAGTATATTCATTGTCTCATTTGTATACATTTGTGATATTTGTTTGTACAGGTTTCTACGAGCGATCGTGTCGCATTTAATTAAAGGACACGGCAGTTTTCCAAAATTAATTTCATACGAGAAGACGATGAATTATTATGCCGTTGACTGGAAAAAATTAAATTATTAATTCAGATTTGTCACAATTCAAAACTTGTTCTCGAGTATAAATGTCGTTCGACGTTCAAAGTCGTCAAAATAATAAAACCAACATCGATTTGTGTAAAAACCGCACACTTTAGGCCCCGGTAGTTCGAAGGTCGGATAAAGCTTTCCACTAGATAAACCTCTATCCGGTGGATACCGCAGTACGTTTTGGTAACACTTATCCGATGGATAACGAGTTATCCGCTCTTTGAACAACCGAGCCCAGAAGTTCACAAATGCCTAACACTAACACCAAACAATATTCCAATGAAGCCGATTGAAATATTGTAGCATACGATCAAAGATAACCGCTTAAGAGAGAATTTTAAGATATCTACATTGTACTTAAGCAACAAATACATTTCCGAATATGCTCACTTCTACTTCGAAGATGTAAATTAACGCACTGCGCCACTGGTACGTTGAAGCCAAACATTTGGAAAAAGCAGTACCTCCCGCTACCACCTTCAACAGTTCTGCTGTTTTGGTGGCGGCAAATATTACAATAGCACAGGACAGTGGGTTGCAAATTGTATTGTCTGTTGATTTTCCGCTAAGCACTTTTAATCCACACAGAATGATCGTGAAATTTCTTCAGTCACGAAAACTTTGATTAGGTCATGTTTTCTTCATTAACCTCACAGCTAGAGGCCGGTGAATAATGGCAGTTTAATCTTATTTGCGTTTTTACGTTGGTTTACAATTGGAGAAACAAATCGTTTCAGAAAATACGTGAGAATACGCAAGAGTCACCATTAATCAAAACAACTACGAGAGCGGAACCGTCTCGGTAACACAAAAATGATGATTACGTCAAGAACTGAGGCGTTCTTCAGAGGAAAGTTTGACAAAAGAAAAACCCTGAACTCGTTATTTTTCTTTCCACAAGCTTGATACCTAACTTACGCCCGAATATTCTTTTGCGATGTGTAACATTGGCCTTGGTTGAGAAAGTTCCGGAAACGCTAGTTAAGTTAGAGAAACGACTTACACCTAGGCATAAATTAGGATGATAATTAACAACCTTGAGTCAATAAGCATAAAGTTAATGCTTCGAAGCTAACCCTTGACAAATAACATTGAGAGCCACGGTGTTAAACAAAGTGTAGAATAGTCTCGAGTCTCCCGACAGGCCATTCAACACTCAACTCAAATCAGCAATTATTTGAAAAAAATTGTGGGAGGATTAAAAGCCATTTTTTCCAAAAAAGCCCAAGGGCCTATCTGAAAAAATTTATTCGTCACAAACTGATGTAAAATTGTTAAGGAATCAAAAGAGGCAAAAATGACACGAAAACGAGAACACTAAAAACAAAGGTAAAAACAAAGCACAACTTATGGCATAACATGCAAAAAAGAGAACTTGCCAGAAACTTATTTGGCATAACATTAACTCTTTGAAAACGTGTGGTAAAAAACTGTTGCAAGTCAGTAAAGACATTATTGAATTATCAACATCCCCAAAGATTGTTTAAGAAATACTCAAGCGCTCGTCATATTTGTTGATAGATTTTTGAAAAATACTGAAAATAACTTACCACTATAAGAGAAACTGGGTTTTCCGATTGGAGTCGTTTCCATGGCTGGATCTTAGGAAAGATAAAGAAAAAAGTTTCAATGCAATGTATAATATTTACATAACCCAAACACAACGAAAAAACGCACTGCAAATATCGAAAAGTAAAAATTCATACATTTTTTCTACATTTCGTAACAGCACTAACAACCCATAGGCCTAGATAATTTCGAATGTTTCCTTTATTCTTTCATCCTGAATTTTGAAATATTTGACATTGTTTCATCATGGACCAACAATACATTTGTAAGAATTCTTTAATTTATAGTTAACAGCTACTTATAATATCAATGTTTTTTCCGATTCTTGCATCGGAGAATTCCTTACAGTTTAACACTCAAAATCCAACTTCACCCAGTCAATAGACTTCACATGTGATCCTCAGTATCTTTTCCAATTATTGCAAATTACACAGACCAACTGTTACAAATTTATCCTACAAAATCTTGCCTTACTTGCTAAACTGAACTATAATCGCAGTTTCTTTTAAAATCCACCCCTTCTGTTTACCATGTTTCAAACGAAGTTGACACGTGTGCAAAAAACGTCTGCCCCTCTCGTGTGGCCGTTTGATACTTGCGTAATGTAACAAGTTAAATACTATGCAGATTCTCTTACCAGCCATGGATCGAATGTCGACACAAGAGTAAAAATCCAGGCAAATTCAGTTGCATTTAAGCCACCACACTAGGGCTGAAAGCATTTTGTATTTTCTTTTGTGCTGTAAAGGGGCAGCAGGAAAAAATACCCAAACATTGAATCTCATTTCCTTTTCAGACACAGTACCGTTATAGCTCTCATATGATACTATAAGCAAAATCTTATAGACGTCTCCTGAACCACTCGAGATCAAAGGGAGGAAAGAAAAACTGAAACTATTGGGTGTTACCTTTGAGCAGGTGCCAGTTAATTGGGACACTCATATTGATTATCTACTTAGTAAGGCCAGCAGTAGGTTGTATATTTTAAGAATATGTAAACTGATTATGGCTACTCTATTGAGAATTTGGACTTATTTTTCAAAGTTTGATTCTTTCAGTTTTTACATATCCTATTGAGGTCTGGGGGTGCGCTTTTTATAGTAAATATTTAAGTAGAATTGATAAGCTCTTTGCCAGGTGTTATAAGTTGGGTTACTGTTTAAAGCAGCACAGTATCTTGGATATAGAGATAAGAAATTATGGCAAAGGATCTCTTCCACCAACACTGCGTTGAGCGATCTCTTACCTCCCAAGAGAACACGGCAGTTGAGAACTAGGTCGCATAATTATATTTTACCTAAGGTTCAGACAAGCCGTTTTAAATCAGTTTTTATTAATAGATGTCTTTTCAATAGTAATTAATACCTTTTCCTTTTCCTTATTCATTCTATTCATGTTAATTGTTGCACGTCTGTTTGCACAATAATTCTTAATAAAGACCTTTATTATTATTATTATTAGGACAAAACTGAAACTGGATGTAAACCTTTTCATCAAATTTATGCTTCTTTCAAATTGAACAGAACATTCTATCTCCACGAAAGCCCTCCTAACAAAAAGCAAACAACAACAACAACAACATAAAAACGTTTCCTGCCAATGTCTCAATTGAATACTGTAACAATAAATTCTCAAAACAAAGGTTTGAAAAATCAGTGGATGTTAGTTTTAATGGAGAACCATTAGAATTCCAAAATGCACACTAAATCTTTGAATGCTATATCATTAAATTACATGCTTCAGTTCTGCAGCTTAAAGAAACTGAAAGATTTAATAAAAGACAAATAACTGAACTATAAGAGCAGGAAAACCCCATGGACGAAAAAAAACTTAAACTTCCTGACGTGAATAAAATTGTAATTTATTAAAAAGGCTTCTCCTTGGCAAATAGACAATAATGGACTCACATGCAGACCTCCCCCTACTTTTTCATTTCTTTTATACTATTTACACTGTGAAAATAAATAAGTTCTGAGGTGAACTGTTTTGAAATCTCTCACGAAAGGTCAAATGAAAATGCCGAGATGACAAGAATCTTTCAACATTGTACAACAGCAGGACGATATTGTATTACAGAATTTGTACTTTAAAAACCAGCTAGAACTTGAGTAATATCACTGAGTATTTCACGTCGAAAAATTCTAACATACAGCATCTAAATTTATGTGAATAGCATACAACACAGCCCTACACATAATTTCTGAACAATGCCACGGATAAACACAAAACCTGTAGACAATTGCTCGGAGAATAACTGCTTTTTCAGAGATCTACCTTTAAGAAAGAGGAGCTAGTTTAGTGCTACAGGTTTGTGTTCTAATTTCTCGCACTCAGTTTAGAGATATTTAACACATATGGACTTAATCAAAACAAGAGACTAGCAGCAAACTGAGACAATATCTCACTATGGGATTTTAAGAAGAAGCGAGGCATTATTACGTAAAAACCTTATCATTTTTAATAAACAATAACCTGTTATCTACATCCCCGAGCACATGGACTGGAATTTGCAAGAAAAACAAATGCATAAAATCACATTATATTGTTGCCACCACTGATATTTGAAAGTTTCAGCACCGTTCATTCTACAAGCAAATTAAACCTAAAGGCTTGCTCTGAATTTTATTGCCTATCGTGTAATTATAAGTCACAACTGGGGCAAGGGGATTTCTGTGATGTCTTTCATAACCAAAAAATTGAGAGACATTTAACACATACATGTGTGAACTTAATCAAAACAAGAAGCCAGCAGGAACTGAAACAATATCTTGCAACTGGATTGTTTAAGAAGGAATAAGGCCTCAATATTTTCATTTATTCCTTAGGAAAAAACCTAATATCAATGACAAGAAACTGCTATCTACATCTACAAGTAGATGGTTTGGAATTTGCAAGAAAAACAAATGTTAAAGTCACATTATAGTAAAGCCTCAACTGATATTTGAAATTCATTCATGCCAAACCTGATCTGATCACATCACAACTGAAGCAAGAAGATTAGAAGAAGATATTAGTGATGTCTTTCACAACAGGAAATTACAATCAATTAGATATTTCTTCGCAGTTCTGGACCCGTGTGGGCTGATTTTCTTTGAATTCAAGACTTTCTTATCAATTTGAATTGTTGATATTAAAAAAAAAACTGCTGCAAGGCTTCAGTACAAATTGGCTGTAAAACGATTTGAAGCCTACTCATTCTTATAGAGGTCAACGCTTTGTTGCAACTGGTCAAAATGAAGTCATGTAAGAAAAATATTTTTACTCTAGAGAAAACGAATCAAACATCTCACCTGTACCATCATTCAGAAAGTTGAAATAACACAGAGGTATTGAAAAGCAGAAAGGATTTTCCAGCAGTTCATTCTCAGAAGAAAACTCCATACAAGAATGGTTGAGTATATAGGTCTTCCTTGAACCAGACCACATTTCAGCCACATCTAATGACCTAGAAGCTTTGAATTTGGCAATAAGGTCATTAAAAAAATCAGGAATCAAGAAAGAATGCATCAAAGATCAGCGTGGTTGAGTTGCAAAGTAAAACTGAAAGGTCATTTTTTACGACATAGTAAAAGAACAGTCGGTGTTCCCTGTCGTGCGTGATATCCGAAACTGCCGGTTGTTCCGATTTCAAAACATCATGCAATGATCTAATCAAGTTGGTATTCGATCCTTCTAATGCATTTAGCTTTGATTCCTTGTCACTCTGACATATGACATTCCCACATAAGGCTTGCTCGTCTTTATTTTTGATGGTTCAGATTACCCTTAAGTTCAAATGAAACAATCCTTTACTACAGCTGATTTCTTAAGATTTAAGAACTATGATCATTTTTGTCTTGAGAAAGGCTTCAATTTTGTGTATGTCTTTTCTCAATCAAAATATTTTCATGATGAAGACCAGAAAACCATCCTTTGGCATCCTTTTCTACGGATTCAGGAAGGATGAGAAAACCTCAGAGACAAAACAGGATAAAACATCAGAACTTGCATACCAACAATAACTGGACCTCCCTCAGACTTCCCACAATTCTTGAGAGGTTTAGAATTCTCATTCAGAAAAGAACAACATTCACTGGATCATGAACATTTAACCCCTACACCACAACTGCTCTGACTGGCGGCGAATTAACCAATTAAATATACTAAATATGATATACAGGGTTCTAACATGCAATGCTCACAAAACTTTAAAAGCTTCAATTTCAACTAATTCTAGTCTCCTGACTCTCTGCCATACAATTCTTGATGTTAGTTGGGAGAATTTGGTATTCAATCAACTGATTATCCCCTAATCGATATTTTTCTTTATTCTCATCACTTGTCGGCTTGGTATTGTATGGATATCAAGAGGAGAAATTCTATCTTGTTCACTCACTGGAGCATAGAGCAGTCCCCTGATCCCTGCATACTTCATTGCACAGGTCAATAAAAAGCAGCTTATTAGAACCTGTACATCAAACTCTTGAGGAAGGGCATTAAAAAAAAAAAAAAAAAAAAAAAAAAAAAAAAAAACAATGGGGAAGGGCAAAAAAAAAAACAAAAAAAACAATGGGATTTCTTTTTTTTTGGCTGACTTCTACTGACACGCACAGCGGATTATGCTCAGAAAGAGGAAATGTTGGTAATATGACTCTTTTGCAATTGCATCTGCCAAGTTGAAACACAGTTAAAGGTCAGAAATTCCAGTTTCAGAACTAAACCAGTGGATAATAAAAGCAAAGTTCAATAACAGACACCATCCTTTCGATAGCTTTGAAAGTTAATGACAATTGCACCCTAAGATTACCTATCCAACATTAAACTTAGAAACGCTTTGGGTAACAGAAAAACAAACAATGCTGGTACAATACTGGTACCACATCGAAAAAAAAGACCACACAGTCAGTAAGATTTTCATAAAGCAACTTCACCTACTTATGGCTATTCTTAGTAACAAAATAATTAAATATTGGTAAGTAGTCATAATGGAAATTTTAGTTAGATAACTTTAATTTCATATTGGCCACACATGATATTCTTTGACACTGCTCCCTCATATCTTGTTTGTCACAAAACCGACCTGAAGAATGATTACTGAAAAAGCAAAATATCATGATATTGCAAAAATAAAGTTTCTAACAGTTTGGATTCCAACAATTGTTCCCAAATTACTCCAATTATTTAATCTGAAGTCTATGAAACCTCCTGATAGAGAATTATATTTCATCTGGTACGAAAAATTGCAGAGCCTGGCTTAATAATGATCTCAAATCAGTGTTGCAAAAAGTGTGAAAGCCAATAGCTGTTTAGAAAAAACATTTAGTGATACACTCAAGCTGCAGGGGACAACACAATATATTAAATAAAATATAGAATTTGATACTCAGTGTTCTCAGTCGTCTGTGGCTACATTTAATACCGGTATATTATATCACTGACTCAAGCGGTGCTGGCAAAGACAATATGGATCAAAATGTCATGTAACATAAATGTCTACAGCAGAATGATTCTACTGCTACATTGATAACATGCAGAGTGGGAGCTCTCAGCATTAGGAACAAGGGGTATAACCTAAGAACTATGACCAGCATCAAAACTGATTTCCAAGCAGTGTGATTTTTTGGAACCTCTTATTACTTGACTGTCTTTCTCTCCATCTACTGTAAACACTTTTTTTCATTTTCAAATTCCTCAACCAAATTTCCGACCACACTGGAACAAAGATACAATGTAAGGGCACCTAAATAATAATCTATTGATTATTTTATATGTTGGTGCCAGCCTTTTGGACTCTTTTTCAGTTTGTTATCAATATAACCTGTATAATCTACAGTCTCCTCTGATATCACATTTTTATTATTTTCCAACACAAACTCTTTCATCTGCTTGCATAACTTAGACTGACACAAAAAGCTACATTAAATGTCTTTACATCAACCTCTTAAAGTGCCTATAACCCCCAAAAATTTTTTTGGCCATATTAAATCTCTCTATTGCACTGAGCAAAATGCCGCAAAAATTTTTGTGTTTGGTTAAAACTGCGATTTTTTATGATTTTTCAAAGTTGAGCATAGTTTTCAAACGACCAAGTGAACCAGAGACTGGGGCCAGTGACGTCATTCCAGGCCATTGGCAGTGGGGCTCCGATTCAATCTCAGTCAATATTATACGTTCCCAACAAGATGAAACCTTCGTTAAAGCCTGATCTGGTAAATTTTTCTCACCTCTCTCTTACTTCACTCGCTTTCAGCTGATTTCATTTCCTCCGACATTCCACGCGTGATCAGTTGGAAAGATGCAAATTCCAACTCCATCTTTTTGCAACCTTCATTGCATAGTCTTGCTAGTCAGGAGCATAAAACATGACTGAATAATCTTCTTCTTGGAAGTGGTTGGAACACATGGTCGAGTATTTTGTGGGCTTCCAATGTGCACGCTTCAATTGCACAAAGTCAACCCACTTCTTTCTTCTATTTTTTTTCTCTGGGTCATCTGCCCCATAAAAAGGTATCGGATGAAGTGCTATATTCTTTTTTCTTTGTTGGGAGTGTTGCTACACCTGAAAACAACGCACTTCTCAGGCATATCGCTCAAGATACTTCATCCAGTCCTTGAAGCAAACTCATTGGAAAGCCTGGAATGATGTTACAAACTGTGCTCGACCCAGACCCATCTTGATAATTCCGTGCCTAGGTCATGTTTTGAAAAAATGCGATTTTCCACGACTTTGAAAATTCATAAAAAATCAGGATTTTAACTAAACACAAAAATTTTTGCAGCATTTTGCTCAGTGCAATAGAGAGATTTAATATGGTCAAAAAATTTTTGGGGGTTAAAGGCACTTTAAGCTAACAAAAATCCATTGTATTCAACCCTTGGATGACAATAGAATCATAGTGTGAATTACTTTCATGAGAAGTTTAACTAATGGCTCTTGAAAAATAATTGATTTAAAGTACACCCTGAGAGCCAAGGGATACTTTTGAGATTATTTAAACAAGAAAGATGTTTAGAAGCACACCATAAAATTGATGAATAAATAATATACAGTGCATGCATACTACATGTAAGAAGTGTTCTCCTTTTAAGGCAGTACAGAGTAACCCCTAAAATGTACCACCCATATTATAAGTACATGTACCTCTCATTACTGCCTTAAAAATTACTTGGAATTCTTGAAAATTTAATAGGTAAAAGGGTTGCTCTTTGAAATTTTTTTAACCTGTCATGCTTAGATAAGGGAAAAAACAGCTGAGAGCAATATGAAAAGTGCCTTTAACATTCTAAATCCTTCAAAAAATTCACTCACAATTGACTTATCCTGCATACAAACTCTCCAAGGTTTTGAGAAGTAAAGACCTTCTATTCACTTCCTTTACCAAGAATGAAATTTTCAGTTTTAAAGAGTTTCTGTTGTGGAAAGTAAAAGGTAAATGTCCACATGACTCATAGTTTTGAAACACTAGCTTTTGCTAACAAACAACTTCATTCGAGAAGGCATTTACAGGTGAAATCAAGTTATCTCCTTTCTAGGAAATCGTAAGTTGATTGACTTGTTTCAGTTTCCATGGCACTTAAATGCATTTACACCAATTTGTTAAAATTGAACAAACTAGAAATTTCATCAAAAACAATTCAGTCTGCTTTTGTTTGTATAGACCAATAGAACATTTTAAAGGCCTGAATACTTTTCTCTTCATTAATTTCCATTCAATTTGTTAATACATAAATAAATCTGTTTATAACTCAGTGTGTCTTGCTTTTGGGTTTGCACTAATCAAATCTTGTCTTCCTGACAAAAAATTCTTCATTTCTTGATACCACTTCAATAACAAAATTCATAAGCAAAGCAACGAAAAACCAAAAGAATAACAGAGAAAATACCTTCTCTAAGTAGAAAACAACAACATCTGTTGAAACAAAGTGACTTAACATGGAGTTTCACTGGAAAATCTGAAATCCGTAGAGGTTAACACCCAGGCTCCTGGCTCCAGTTGTTCAAAGGGCAGATAGTGCTATCCAATGGATAAATCACTATCCAGCGGATAAGTGTTACCAAAACATACTGCGCCATCCACTGGATAGTGTTATCCATCCTTCGAACAACTGGGGCCTGGTGTTTTTTTTCTTTAACCCATTAATGGCCGCAGCTTTTGTGAAAAACTGTGTTTTGAAGCTAGTCAAGCAGATTTCGGGTCACTGTTGTGGTTTTAAAAGCTCAAACTTACCAAAAACTCATTGATAGCTCGTACACTCAACGGCCTTTCGATATAAATGCAAAATGGTGGCCTGAAAATCTCGGGCATGCGCAGAAAGCAAAATTTGGTGATAGTTTTTGGGTTGAAAAGTAATGCCCCACCTACGACTTTTACTTTTCTCTCTTTCTCCTGCCCCTTTTTTCCCCTTTCCTTGCCTGAAGTTTCTCCTCACTTGCTGGAAATTTAGTAAGCTTCATTTTGGTGTAGAGATTTTTTAGGAAACTACTCATTATTTTCAAACCACATGCTCAGAAAGGTAGGTGGGTAATGGAACAAGATTTTCATGCAGATTTTCAGGTCAAAGTTACATGGTTTTTTGGCTTTTTCTCCAATCTCCTTCACTCAATTGCACTCATTCTGGTATCGTTTGTAAAATATTTTCAACCTGTTCAAGTACGTGCTCAAAGTGGGGCTCCAGGGTTAAAAGTGATGATGTCACAAGGTGTAGAAAGGGTGTGGGTTCACATGGGTGCATACGGGCGCACTGGACGTCAATAGGTTAAAGAACTTCTAATAGAAGATTAAAACTTAACAAATGTAACTTATCAAAAGCAGGAATGACCTGGTGTGTCTGATATAGAGATAAATGCCACATCGTCCAAGCAGTCAAAGAGAGTGATCACAGTGTAAATTGATGAATGACTAATTGTGACTGGGTCACTGACAGATGACTTTCACAACACATTGTCGACTTGGTAACTCAAACATGCACTTATAGGAAAGGGTTGAGATACCAACAACAATTGAAAATAACTTACCAGTAATCAGAATAAATAAGTCTTGATACCTTTGCAAAATAATTGGTTAAAAAATTTTTCATTCCTTTGGAGATCCTAATTAATATATATATATACCAGTAACTGCGCAAAAACACACTCAATGTTGTTAAAGGAAATAGAAGATTTTGAGCTTTAAATAACACTCTTAACAATCTTAAAGGCAACATATATCACTTATTCCTTAAATGCCTTAGAAGTGGAAGTTGAAAGGAATATGTTATCTGTTTTTCACAGTGGGTCAGACAAAAACATCTGAGTCTCCTGCAAGGATTTTTATCTTTTAGACTATGCACTCCATTGCCCTGCTATTGAGTTATAGAGAAGCTGGTGGTGTGCCAGTCTACCTATTACAATAGGTTCAAAAAGGAAAAGCTTCCTGCCTGCTGATGGGATCAACAATGTCCAAAGCATTGTGCATGTAAACATATGTGGAAAAAGAAGTTTCTCCAAAAACTTTTACCATTAAAAACAGTATTTTAATATAAGCAGTAAAGCTGATTGTTTAATTATCTGGTCTATTCATTTGTGGGCTGAAACAACAGTTAGGCGAAAGAAGAATCTGGAGATAACTGACTGACTGTGTTTTTTAAGAAGAGAGTAGCTGTAATGCTGTTAGTCACAACGTCTGGATGAGTAAATCCTAGTGACACTAATAGCTCACACAATTCATGACGTCTAACATCTCAATGACATGTTTCATTTTTTGAACTCGAGACAGACCTTCAATTTCAGATGCTTGGTGCATCCTAAATTCTCTAAGTTTTCAGTATGTTTGGAAATCTTTGCAGAAAGTTACAAGAAATTAAAAACTTGGTAAATCCATACTGATCACTTTCTGGTACTAACCTTTCTTGCTTTGAGCTGGTGATGTTACTGTTCTTTGCTCATCATTGGTTGATATTGCTCCAGTTCCTTTGTCTTTTGGTGAAGTTGAAAAAATGCTGCCTAATCCACCACGGCGAGCAAGTCCAGCTATGCCATTTGGTGCTAATTCACAATCTGTAATGCTTGAAGAATTTTCGTCATCATGTTTGATACTATCAAAGTCTTTTGATGAATCATCATCTCCTGTCAGTTGTGCTTTTAACTTTGGTCTCTTCTTAGATAAGATAGTCCAAAACCTTCTAATTTTTTCTTTACGAGGCGGTTGACTGCCGTCAATCAAATCCACAGCCATATCATCTTTGAAGTCTAACTGCCTTGCTACCCCAACCTTCCTTCTCCTCTCTGAAGCTGGATGAGGAATGTGCGACAAATCGGTTCTCTTGGAAGAAGGCAAAGACTCTGATCTCCTTTCAATTTGGTTAACACCGCGAGATGAATCTGTCTTTTTTGGGCTGACTGAAGCATCTGGTGTTTTGGTTTCATGAGTATTATTTGCTAATATGTCTTCCTCAATTGACTCCTGCTTGCCAAAAGTTGGGCTCCGGCAACCTGTTCTTGTTCCAGAGTCTGATGGCATGGGGATCCTGTTAGCCTCACTATTCATGGCAACATTAAGGGAGTGTTTGCGACGGTGCTTGGGCGTGGTCAGGGTATCCCAAGATGGTACATCCCCATATTTACTCCTCCTCACAAAATTAAGATTAGTAGGATGAGACCGCAGATTTTCTACTTTCTGCTGTAACGTGGTGAGGGTTTCATATTTATTGTGCCCCTCACGTTGTAGTAACGTGGAAGAGTTCAACACTTGGCTTGGACAGGCTACGCTACTTTGACCCCGTGTCCTCCAGGCGGGATTTTTCAAATCTGAATCCACACAAACATTCTTCAAGTCCTTCACGTCTGGCAACGATGGACATCGAAAAGATTTCGCAAGAGATAATCTAGGATGCGAGTTCGACCTATACAACGATTCTGCAGTGAAACTATCGGAAAGATCGTCCACATGGATTTTTTCCAAAACGCCCACAGGCTTAGGAAAACGGCAGACGTGTTTTTGGCAAGTAGCTTGTCTACGTACTCTGCTCGGGTTGAACATCGACATAGACCACATGGAAATTGTACGATCGACTGAGAGAGTCAAAGCGTATCCCGGCATCTGAATGTCTTCCCCATCGTCTTCCTCGCTGTAATCATCAGAGTCGGAGTCACCTTCCATTTCGCAGATGTTACTCGATGGGATCACATGATACCCTTGGGGTTCTTCCACGCTGAAGCTCCGTAGCCACTTCGGCCAGACCTCTTCCTTGCCGCAGAGTTCGTACCTTTTCCACGACGAAGCTTCCTTACTCCACTTAGCTTTGAAAGTAAACGGACTTCCCTGGCAAACCTTCATGTTCACATCTGAACGCAGAAATTTCGTAACTGTTTTGGCTGACTCGTACTGAAGCACATGAGTATCCGATTCCCTGCGATCTCTCATCTCTTTGACAAAAACAAACTCATCCGTCAATAAAATATGAACCGGTTTAGAATAGTGAAGCTGGCTGTTCAGCTCCAGAAATTCGCTTTCAATCAAAACTTTGTCCTCCGTGATCGCGTAGCTTGCCGTTCCATTGCGCAGCGCTGAACGGATGTTGTTATTTGTGCCACACAAACTTTGCTCGACATCCGAGGCCATTTTCTCCTGTCCTTGATTTAAACTCAGGGCCTCCTTAAGTTATGAAACAATGTTTTTGACATAACGCACACACCTCTGAAATAAGATAGGGCTTCGATTGTATTCTCCCACAGAGAGCCCATGCCGTGTAAACAGAATGAATAGCTTTCCTCAGCCATCTTGTTGTCCTAATTTATGTTAATTATTCATGTTTATGACGTAAGGTACGTCATGAATAATTAACCTGTCACAAATCTTTGACGAGCTTAACATGGACCACAGCATAAACTAAATTCAGATTTTCGACACCTCTGCCTTATACAAATTTAAAGTACAGTAGGAGATGTAATCAAAACAATAACTTTTTAAAATTAATTTCATGAATATGTTGTGGCAGATAAAACGAAATAGCTAAAAAAAAAAAAATCAGTAAGAGAAGGTTAGCTCTTGGTGGCAAATTAAATACAAAAGAAAACAGTTGTCTGTGAACCAGAGCACTAATGATGCCGACTTCTTCTTAAATGTTGCAATTATTTTTTCAAAGTTGACGTTTTAACCCTTTTTATTCCATTTTCGCCGCTGGATTCGATTTTATCGACAAAATGTCACGTTAAGTCAATAGCGTTTTATGAGTACTTGCCGATCGCATCTTTTTTTTATCGTCGGCATTTTGATTTTTAGCCCATTTACTCTACCTGTCATGTTTTGGCTCCTCTGCAGTTTTAGGTGCCCTGATTAGCATAAACGGACACGAAATTAGAAACATTTTTGAAAACAGCGGAGTTTGTCTATGAAATTCTATAGATGTCAATCGGGAGTTTACTTCTCTAACAAGATTTCCAGTATTTTCGATCTATTTTTTTCCGTGCACAAAATCTCAAAGTGATCTGATTTTTTCACCAACACATTATGGATAAATTTGAAACACAAAGAAGGGGATTATTCAAGCCAACGCAATTATGCTGTATCCATCACAAATTTATTACGTGATAAAAAGTCTAAAATGGAAACAAACCTACGTCTATAAAGAAAGAGCTTGCCAAGGGCGTTTTGTTTTAGCCAGAGGAGGAAAAGATCGGAAAAATTCCGTTCGAACGCAAGAAGCACGCACATAGGTTGTCACGTGACAATCTACGACAACACGAGGATTAATAAAAAGTGACAGAGCGCAAAAAAAAAAAAAGAAGTTATTAATGGTGAACATAATGAACTACAGAACTTGCTTATCCGAATTTTTAGAACTAAGTTTCTTCATGACTATTTTCGGTATCAAGCGCTGAGTCTACTCAAGCGAACTAAGAAGCTATCTTCGATCGACCAAAAAAGCTGCAGAAGCCATCAACATGCGGCTGGTGTTTCGATCTTTCCGGTGTTCAAGGTCATCATTGCCTCAACAACTGTTGTTCGCTTCCGATTCAAGTCAAAGCAAGAGATTATTATCTCTCGAGTCAAAAACAAAACATTGCGTGCTCCGCTCAAAACACACTCCATGTCCTCGCATGATTTCCTCTGCAATTACAACCACATGGGCCGATTTTTAATTTCAAATACGGACCCAGCGGGCAGTAATTTTTTCTGTCGGTTTCGATGAAAATCGAGAACCAAGCCCCGTTATCTCTGTCGAGCGTGATGAGCTTTACTAATCTATAAATTTCAGGCGGATAGGCGCCTAAAGCAGAACGTGGCCGACTGAAGGAGATGAAAAGATTAGGTTGTTTCGCCTATGATTCTGGTTGCACCGCACCTTCAGGCAGATCTGAGAGGAGGAGGTGAAGGGGGCAGAAACTGGGCGGGTTCTGCATACGGCACATAAAGCCCTCTTTTTCGTTACCAGGATCCTCTCGAGCTCTCACAGGAAGAGAGAAGACCCTAGAAACGAAGTGTTCTTTTCCATTCCCTGACCTGAGCCACGCTGGATCGTCGAGTACTTTTATTATTTTTTTCCGAGAAATGTCATATCATAAATTATCAGGGAAAAAGTACTGTTTCCACCGGTTACCTTTATAAAAAGATGCAGGAATGGGTTCTTTCAAACCCGACAAAGTATATGGGAACTTCAAGTAATGGGCGTGATATTTCTTTTAAGTTGGGATTAGCTTTTAGCCTGTGGATAAATTGCACTATACGTAGTGCGACTCTAGCTTCTTGAGTGCTTGGCAAACCTTCCAAGTGCAGTCATAACTCGATTGTTGCACTCTGCACGTCAACCATTTCTTTTATAACATTGAGACTTTCAAAAATTTTTCATTTTACGTTCGTGTAGAAAAAAAAAAAGAAGCAAAACAAACTGACGTCAACATGCAACCTACGGGCAAATGGATCGAGCGTATTAGCCAATCAGAGCGCGTGCTTTTTGTAATGCCGTCAGAATAAAAGGTGTTCATTTATTTTAATTCTAATTAATTTCATTTAATGCAGTAAATGGTTTGAACCCGGGGGTAACATGTGAAGGTGTAGTCTGATCGTCCGGGTGAGTGTAGTCCTGAGAAGGACTGTTGTCGGTGGTAGTGACTGACGTTTCGACAACCTGTGCGGAAGTCATCATCAGAGTCAAGTGAATGATTGTTGTCAGTAGAATGTTCTTATTCCAGTTCGTGTGAAATGATCGGTTGGTTTTGCCGTGATGTTATTGGCTGTAAGACTCAAGTGACGTAAGTCGGTCGTGATTGGTCTGTTTCGATCTGTCGGTAAAGTTAGGTCGTTCTTTTTCGGTCGTTTGTGATGTTTATGTCGTGAATGAGTCGTTTGTATGGAGCGGGTAGTTGTTGACATCTGTTTAGGGGAGTCTGTTCTAAGTTAGTAAACCAGCTTTCCAGAGTCAGTCGTTGAAAATAGTCAGTGCTGTAGGTTAGGCATTGCGCAGAGTCCCAGTCAATGTTGTGGTTGGTAAGTCGATGGTGTTCAGCAATGTGATTGCTGACATCACCTTTCCTCGTCGCCCGTCTGTGTTCAGTCAGTCTTGTTGTGAGGTTTCTGCCAGTCTCACCGATGTAGGAGGCTTGGCAGTCGGAACAATTGATCTTATAAATCGTTCCCTGTCTGTTCCTCGGTTCGTCTTTGTCTTTAACGTTGGTTAGTAACTGACGTAGTGTGGTGATGGGTTTGTGGGCGACGCGGATATTGAAGGGTAGTAAGATGCGCGAGATGTTTTCAGACATGCCTTTTATGTACGGTATGGTTGCTGTAGTCGTAGGGGTTGCGGTGTCGTTTGTTTCGGTAGTGGTAGTGGGTCGGTGAGTGTTTCGTCGGATGAAGTCGTTGTTGTAGTTGTTCTTCGTAAAAACACGGTGAAGGTATTTGTTCTCGTCGGATAAGCTGTCTGTCGAGTCACATACTAGTTGTGCGCGTCGTGTTAGAGTTCTGATAGTTGTGGCTTTGTGTGATGTAGGGTTGTAGGATGACTCGTCTAGTAATCTGTCGGTGTGTGTCGGTTTCCTGTAAACTGTCGTTCGTAATGAGTTGTCGTTGTGGCTTACCAGGCAGTCTAGAAAAGGAAGTTTGCCATTTTCTTCGACTTCTCTGGTAAACTGTATGTCAGTGTTTTGTTCGTTAAGGTGGTTGTGGAATGCGTCAATTTCGTCGTGTCGAACGGCGGTGAATGTGTCGTCAACGTAACGTAACCAAAGCGGTATCGTTTGTCGGCAAGTCGAAAGGGCGCGTTCCTCGATGTTCTGCATCACAATTTCTGCTATAACAACAGAAACTGGAGACCCCATGGCAGTGCCGTGTAACTGTTTGTAGTGTTTACCGTTGTACTGAAAGTAAGTAGACGTTAGGCAAATGTTTAGCAAGTCCATGATGTCGTCTGTCGGTAGCGGTAGTGGTTCGGTAGATTTNACCTTTCCTCGTCGCCCGTCTGTGTTCAGTCAGTCTTGTTGTGAGGTTTCTGCCTTGTTTCGACTTGCCGACAAACGATACCGCTTTGGTTACGTTACGTTGACGACACATTCACCGCCGTTCGACACGACGAAATTGACGCATTCCACAACCACCTTAACGAACAAAACACTGACATACAGTTTACCAGAGAAGTCGAAGAAAATGGCAAACTTCCTTTTCTAGACTGCCTGGTAAGCCACAACGACAACTCATTACGAACGACAGTTTACAGGAAACCGACACACACCGACAGATTACTAGACGAGTCATCCTACAACCCTACATCACACAAAGCCACAACTATCAGAACTCTAACACGACGCGCACAACTAGTATGTGACTCGACAGACAGCTTATCCGACGAGAACAAATACCTTCACCGTGTTTTTACGAAGAACAACTACAACAACGACTTCATCCGACGAAACACTCACCGACCCACTACCACTACCGAAACAAACGACACCGCAACCCCTACGACTACAGCAACCATACCGTACATAAAAGGTATGTCTGAAAACATCTCGCGCATCTTACTACCCTTCAATATCCGCGTCGCCCACAAACCCATCACCACACTACGTCAGTTACTAACCAACGTTAAAGACAAAGACGAACCGAGGAACAGACAGGGAACGATTTATAAGATCAATTGTTCCGACTGCCAAGCCTCCTACATCGGTGAGACTGGCAGAAACCTCACAACAAGACTGACTGAACACAGACGGGCGACGAGGAAAGGTGATGTCAGCAATCACATTGCTGAACACCATCGACTTACCAACCACAACATTGACTGGGACTCTGCGCAATGCCTAACCTACAGCACTGACTATTTTCAACGACTGACTCTGGAAAGCTGGTTTACTAACTTAGAACAGACTCCCCTAAACAGATGTCAACAACTACCCGCTCCATACAAACGACTCATTCACGACATAAACATCACAAACGACCGAAAAAGAACGACCTAACTTTACCGACAGATCGAAACAGACCAATCACGACCGACTTACGTCACTTGAGTCTTACAGCCAATAACATCACGGCAAAACCAACCGATCATTTCACACGAACTGGAATAAGAACATTCTACTGACAACAATCATTCACTTGACTCTGATGATGACTTCCGCACAGGTTGTCGAAACGTCAGTCACTACCACCGACAACAGTCCTTCTCAGGACTACACTCACCCGGACGATCAGACTACACCTTCACATAATTTCATTTATTAGATTCGCCGACAGGCAGGGACACCACAACAGCTTGCCCCAATTACTGCGGGCCCAGTAAACCCACCCATCCCGCACCAGGGGAGGACATCCACCACACAGTAATCTCGTGCGAGGGAAATTAACGTCTCCTACCCCTAACCCTGCAGGAGACGGGGCCTACGGTTTATTCGTCCTTACGAGAAGACTAGAATGTCTATTCACTTCTTGTAGCAGATTCTCCTCAGTTATTTTAAGACCATCAGTATTGGTCCGGCCGGGGCTCGAACCCTCGACCTCCCGTATAACACAATCCGGCGCTCTAACCAATTGAGCTACCGGGGGGCGATTTTCGGTACACAGTCATGACGATCTATCCTAGCATTAACCTGATATAGCCCTAATATCAAAGACTCTATAATGTCCACTGTATCTACATCACGATAGTTTTTAAAATCATCCTTATCCATCATATCTTTTCCATATGTTCGCATTGGTGCGAGAAGTTGAAACACATTACGCTTTCAAGAAAGAAAAAAAAAACTGTCGGTCGTCATCTGTGGTAATTCAGATCTGAGTTATAATTAGTTTTGCCTGACAACGCTCTTTGATTTATCCAAAAAACTCTCTTCATCTCATATCGACCAGAAACACAAATACGACTAACTGCAAATTTCACTCGCGTTTTCCAGCGCCTGACGAGTTCGTTTGCATGCCGAGAAAACGTATGCATTTATTTTTCAGACGATCAATTTACTTCGACTCAACGTTCGATTTAAATCTATCTTTTCTATGTTTTAATCTGCATAGGGCAATTTAGCCCATCTCGGCAGACATACCAACCCACCCTATCCCAGGGAAGAACATCCACCACACAGTAATCTCATGCGTGGGAAATTAACGTCACCTACCCCTAACCCTGCAGGAGACGGGGCCTACGGTTTATTCGGCCTTATCCGAGAAGACTAGAATATCTATCCTTTTCTTAATATTATAGAAAGGAAACACATTCTCCTCAGTTATTTTGAGACCCTGAGTGTTGGTCCGGGGTGAATCCTCGACCTCCCGTACAACAGTCCGGCGCTCTACCAATTGAGCTAACCAGGAAGCGGTCGAAAACTACGAAATACAGCGTTACTGAGGATCAAAGCTTCAAAACACCTGTATTCTGTCATTACCCCAATCTGCAACAATGATATTTCCCTGTTTCGTAACAGCTACTCCTTCTGGTCTCTTAAACTGCCCTCTCTTGCTACCTTCGCTTCCGAATCGGGTCATAAACGAGCCATCCTCGTTGAACATTTGAATACGATGATTGTACGAGTCGCTAACGATAATGTGATCGTCGGCGTCCGTTACAACTCCGGTGGGCCAGTTAAGTTCGCCGTCGGCTTTCCCGCTTTTTCCGAACTTAAAAAGAAACTGGCCCTTCGAGCCGAACACCTGCACCCGATCGTTTCCGAAGTCGGTGATGATCACATGTCCTTTACTGTTCACAGCCACAGCCGAAGGACAGTTGAACTGCCCTCTGCCGTCACCAAGACTGCCAAACGTGAACAGTACTTGACCTTTCTCGTTAAAAACTACCACACGAGCTTTACCACGGTCTACGACGAAGATACGGCCTTGGTTGTCAACAGCCACTCCGTACGGCTGATAAAGGCGCTCTCCCTCCATCGTTTCTTTGCCAAACTTCTTAATAAACTTGCCGTCTTTTGTAAAAATCTACAAAGAAATCGAGTAGTACTTGATCAGTCCGGCCACCTCGACAAGGTACTGAATTTGTCATGACAAAAATTTCTCCGATTATCGTGTGTTTTCTCGCTAATCACCTGAAACTCTTGTAATGAGAAGGCTATTATTTTACGTTTAATCACCGAAATGGACCCACTAAAATAAAACTTTTCTTGATACTAAATTAACTACAGGTAAGTGTTTCGCAAAGAGAGCTGATCGCGTCAATAACGACGTGTTTGAAAATTGAATTGAAATTGTCTTCCTAAGGACACGAAAAGCGCTCTGCAACGCTTTCTACCTGGATTCTGTTGTTCATGGTGTCCGCTACAACAATGTCCCCCTCGGTGGTCACAGCCACACCGCTGGGAAACTGGAAATGACCGTCTCTACTTCCCGGTGCGCCAAAGAGGAACCGGAAGTTTCCATCCATGTCAAAAACCTACCACACAAACACAGGGAATAGACATACCAGGATAAATCTACCCAAATAAATACGCGTTATTGAGCGAGCATGAGCTTAAGACGGCTGCATTCTGACGATACTCTAATTACTATACTAAAAAAAAAACCTGTCAAAATAATTTTGAATAACTAACAAACCTGTCAAATAAAAATTCTTCAACAATCCGTTTAACGCCACCGACTAAATAACCAGTGCTGCATTCTTCCATGTCCAGTTTAAAAGCAATTTATCAACTGAACACTAAGTTTGTCAAAAAGTAGAATTAAAGACTTATCAATGAAACCTTTAACCCTAAGTGTGATCTGCAGCTAATTTCTCCTTACAATATCACCCCTGATTCAAGAATAAAGGTCATGAGAGTTTCAGAAATGATCGTCAACTAGAGGAGTTCTTAATTGACCGTGAAACAAAATCCCCTTGTCACTACCATAGGAAATGTATTAGAGAACAGTATGGAGAGCATGCACAATGTTAGGGTGTAAGTTTTTAGGAATAAACTTCATTTAGCCTAAGTGAAAGATGACTCTGTATCCAACCATACATGTTCCAATGTCTAGATTTTAGGATTTTTCAGGTCAAATTTAAGAATTTTTTGTTTTTAATTGAAGCTCATTCGCTGCCTGAGTGGGGCAACTACCTAAACAACCATTGGATAACACAGAATACTTCGCGATCTAAAACGCAAGTACTATAACACCTAAAGATTCAGTCATATTTGCTTTTTGTGCTCCTCAATGTGCTTTACTTACTTGGAGACGATGATTTCGCGAGTCACTGACGATAACATTACCATCTTGACTCACTGCCACCCCCTGGGGATCTCCTAACCTTCCAAACTTGGACCCACTCCCCGCGATCGCTCTCTTGGCGCTCCGAACACGAGGCCTGATATCACCGATATTTATGTCTTGCGGAAACCCTTCCACGACTTGTCCACGAATGAACACAGAAAATGAGAAAATTCCATTGAAGAAAGGATGGTATGCAGAGAATGACTGACCATCAGCTGGGAACGAAACAAAATGAAAAAAATTACTACATTCAATTTCCTTAGATGAAGTATACACCTTTTATTACACGACTCGGGCAGTCAGAGGGCCCATAACTAAAATTAACCAATCAAAATGCTCTATTGCCGGTCCAATATTCTCTAAGTATTGGACCGGGTACTGTCCCGAATGGTCCCGAATGATACCGCACTTGTATCCCTTTGAACTTCAGTCGTATAATAAATCTCTTATTAACCAAGCTTGCTCGGGACCGTACTGGAAGAATATCGGCCCTCGGTCTTTTTTGTACGGACCTCGCTGCGCTCGGTCCGTACTGTCAAGACCTCGGGCCGATATTTTCCCAGTACGGCCCTCGCGCTTGGTTAATAAGATATATTTATTATCAAATTTCAAACTTCGAACGTTGTGTTCTGATTGGCTCACTTAGCTCCAGTTATCAGTTCATATACCCAGTCACTTCATATGGAAAATGATTTACTGAACTGTTGCTAACTAGATTTACTTTTGGTTGCATGGAAACAAACACTTCTCCCGTGCATTGTGGATTATTTTATTTAATAAAACAATTATTCTATTAGCGCTGCTTGGATACGAGATCGGTTATAGCCAACTCAACGCTACGCACCTCGATAGCTATTTACCATCTTATATCCAACGCTTATTTATGGAATAATTGTTATTAACCGAGTTCGAGGTTCGTAGTCTAAGTCACGGACCGAGTTTTTCCGCTCGTATTCATGAACCAAGCGTAGCGTATAGGAGCCGTGAATCAAGAACAACAAAAAAGATATTCAAATCAGCAAGAAAGGATTGGATTACAGCCGTCGTCGTCGAATTGAAGGAGTTGATGACACGATTTTCTCTCTTCGGGTTATTAAACACATATTAGTTGTTCTCTAGGTAAATATTATCCATGACAGCTGAAAATAGGGTCGCGCTATCGCTGAGCAAAATAAATTATACTATGGTAAAATTCACCGCAATCCAGTTGCAGAATATTTCGTAAATCATTTTAAAGCTGGACCTGAAGAAAAATTGAAGATTAGTAAAATGAAGACAGGTTGTTTCTGACAGAACTAAATTTCATTATTTTAAACACTCGTTAATAATCATTTAAAATCTCAAACCATTGTTTCTTAACCTGAAAAAGGAAATACGGTTCGGGTAAAATATACGAAAGTAACTAGTCTTAACGTACGTGAGTGCTATTAGAGTTTTCCTTTTAAAGAAGCTGTCATATGATGTTGTGAGTTAAGTTTTGTGACGATCGAAACTACCATTTGATTTGAAGGGGACTGGAAAATATCAGCTCAGCAAGATAGGAAAATGAAATACAAAAGAGGCAACAACAATAACAAAAAGAGATTTAAACAGATTGAACGCAGTGGACGAAAAATCCTTGAGCCTCTTTTTAGATAAATAACAGCTTACCTTGATGAATTGTATCGGGTGGTAATAACACGCCATTGGGGTCTCTTAACTCCACAGAGAGGGGCACCTCCCTCGTAGCATTTTCCTCGCTATAGCCGTTCGTTCTTCCATTCATTTTTGGAGCCTCCTCTATGTCTTCCAGTACTAAGTGCGGTCCGCTAGTTTTAAGAATTCCCAAAGAATGAGCGACCACAGTCTCTGCTTCCTTAGTGTTTACTTCGTATTTAAGCTCGGAGTTTTCGTGTGGTTTACAGTCCAGTTGCGTGTTATTCAGTTCCGTCAGCCTTTCAGTTATGAGAGTTTTTAGCGACAGTAGTTCCACTTCGTTCGCGTATTTTAAAACCTGCTCCGAAAAATCACAACCTGTCTTGAATTTCGTGTATTCATCTTGGAGCTGGTCTTTTTGGCGTTTTAAAATGGGTGACTTTGCGTTATAAATTTTGTCCGCTTCCATCAGTAATTTTCTTTCTTTTTCTTTTAGTACTTTAATCTGATGTAAAGTGGCCTCCCGAATTTCAGCCTTCACTGCCGCTAGTCTCCCACGAAGGGTGTCAGAAATACCTTGGATTTCCTTGATAGACTTTTCCAAAAACGGAATGTTCGCCGAGCACTCCTCAAACAAATTCTCCATGATAGCCTTCTGTTTTTGTATCTTTTTGGAGTCTTTAATGTAGTCGTATTTATGTTGTCGATGTTCAATTAACACGCAGTCGCGGCACACAGCTTCATTGCAAGTCTCGCAATAATATTTCAAGGGTTCGCTGTGATGTATCCTACAGAAAGCCGGACGGTGCAAATCCTCACCGGTTTTACTGGCAAGAAGCTCGGAAATTGTCAAAATCCTATGTTCTTTCGTCTGGCGAATCCTCTTGTGAACGTTGTAGCAATTCAGGCAAAGAAACTCGCCGCAGTCCACGCATCGAGAGGTTGCCGGAGAGTTTAGCGAGTCGCAGTTCGAGCACGGAACAGGTTCTCTGTCGCTCGAGTTTATCAAAGCAATATCCAACATATTATCTAGAAAGAAATTTGTCGGTAGGTCTTCCAATTCTTCCTTTGAAATTTTAGCATCCGTTTCGCAAAGCGGACAAGCTAGAAACTCGCTCGGAGCGAGTTTTTCTGCAAAGCCTTGGATACAAACTTGGCAAAACGAGTGCAAGCAAGGTAAAAGTTTCGGTGTTCGAATTAATCTCCTGCAAAGTCGACAGTTTAGATGCCTTGATATGTCTTCCACGATGACTCCGGCAATTATCGAAGACTGGGCCATTCTCACAGAGTGCTGTCAATAAACGACTTTTCTTGGCAGTCGCGTTAAAAATTTTCCCTCTCCAGAATCCGTTTCAAAAAGTGAAACCGGACTCGTTTTATGTTTTGACTTTCAAACGAAGTCTTGTTAGCCTAGCAACAGGATAGCAACCGGCAGAATTTGATAACGCAACTCGTTAAATATTCCACACAAAAGAAAGATAAGAACTCGGCCGATATCAATAAATTATGACATTTTTGCGAGCCCCTTTTCGCGGCCGACGTAGATATTTTGAGCAAATACCCATAAATCATCCCCTTAACAGATTTCCTTGCTAGATCTAACGCCTCGTTAGTATTTCACACTTATAGTTTCTTATTTTGAAGACAAACGGACTCTTCAACTATCGAATATCGATTTTACCACCTACGGCCATATGTTGCCCTACAACAGCTTCGCTCCAAATTGAATATGACAAATAAGAAGAGACCATTAAGTCATTTGCATTTATTTGAGTATTCGTTTGCTGTGATGTCAATGTGGATGGGAGAGTCTTCTTCCTTCAGAGACGGAAATTAAAATCATCCTGTCAGTGTAACGCGAGAAAACGGGAAAAATTTCGACTATGGCGCCAGAAATTCGATTTTTTCAAGGCCATTATTCGTTTAGTTTGAGCCAACTGAATCTCTTTTATTGAATATTGAAGTGTCAAAAGGTTTTGTATTATACATATTGGCTCAGTGCTTTTGTTTATCCGTTTCAGCTGTCCGTCAAACACGTCTGTGTTTGTGTCAGAAGGACAGGTGAGTAATACTGCCACCAAACCCAGGCCCACCTCTTCCCAAGGGCTTCTGGGCTTGCAACATGGTGGCGCGATAGAAATTTGAAAACCGAGCTGGTCCTGTGAACGGGATTGCTACGAAATTGGGCACTCTTAGATCAGAGTTCATACCTTTTAAGCCACGGGAAAAAAAGGAGACGAAATGAGCATCAAAACAAGGAACTAAGAGAAAGCTTTCGCATATCCTTAACTTTTGTTAGAGGTAAGGCGGAGCCTGACATAACACGTACACAAGAGAATATCAAGTTCATATTCTCTTGACGTAAATTAGAGTGCTCTTCGATCGAGTGTCGTAACTGACCAAAGCCAAAGTAATTACCACAGCCGAGGAAGGTGGGGAGGAAAACATCTTAAAGAGACAATGAGAACTCAAACTGTCCCCATTTATCTCTCTCATTATGCTGAAGCAAGAAAGATTCCAGTCCAGAATGAGATTTCCACATTATTTTATTTTACATTAACTTACAACTATTCAATACACGCTCTCAAAGCTTTGTAAAGGGCGTAAACATAGTAACTTTTTCCGGCGAAAAAAAAAAAAAAAAAAAAACACCCGAGACTGTTTCGACAAAATGAGGATAAAAAAACATCGCACGATAGCCGGAAACAAATTCCCAAAATGTACTTGTACAATTTCGGTTAAGACCGCCAAAAGAAACTAAAAGACCAACCAAAACAGAAGTATAAAAACATCTTTCACTCTTGATTTTTCATCTATGGCGTCGGCGGTCTCTGTCACGCGATCTCGAACGTTTGTCACGCGATCTTGACCTTCGGTCCCTGTCACGTGATCTTGACCGTGACCGTCTGCGTCTGTGTCGTTTTTCTCTCGTTTCGCCCTCGTAATCATCTTTGTCGCTGTAATGGTGTTTACTGCCAGTCGACCTGGAATAAAATTAGAGTAATTTTTAACTAACATAGCGCATAACCATTCAAAATCGGCTCAACTTCTAGAAGTCCCGCAAAAAACAAAACAAAACAAAACAAAACAAAACAAAAAACTAACTTAATTAAAGCTCATATTTACCTCCTTTCTAGAAGCTGCAACTCCAGTCCTTGCAAACAATCCTGTAACGACTGAACGAGGACCTGTTACAAAACCACGGTAGGCATCAGTTTACTTTTTATTTTGTCACGCTACTTTTAATAAGTTAAGAGCAGACGATAATGAGTAGAACTCATGGACAGTGACAACTAAATCTTGTTACCAGACATATCTGAGCAGTTTCGTCGTGATATTATTGGCTGTAAGACTCACAGAGCGAGAGTTTGCCGTGATTAATCAGTTTCGATTCGTTGTTAGAGTTTAACTCGTTCTGTTCGGTTCGTTTTCTATGTTACTGTCCCAAAGATCGACAAAGAAGACGTTCGCAAACTGTAAGATTTACCTGGCATCTCTCTTCTGCTGCTGTTGGAGATTGTTTAATAAGCGAGATCGCTCCTACTAATGTTTCAATTCCACTCTCGTAGTCGCCTATTAGGAAACGAAAAAAACAGTACCTTTACCTTAAAATCATCGACTCGTAAATACAATATCACAGCTTCAGTAACACTGACTGGAATTCCCTGACAACTGTACCTATCATAATAAAATTGTGCGAAATAAACATTACAAAAAAAAAAAAAAAAAAAAACCCGTTTTGAACAAGAAAACTGAGTGCGGTTCCCTCTTGGAGATCCTAGTCAATTTCTTCATTCAAAAGTTTTCCCCCGATAAGTCCCTTTATTCAAGTTAGCTCATTATCGTCATTATTTTTACCATCGAAAAATCCTTGATTCTTTCTGTCTGAGCAGATTAACAGTCGAGAAAAATGATTTTCATTAAGATAATGTGTCGGCTGGTATAGTGAAGTTTTACTTTCTAGATACATTACAAGTCTGATCTTCACACGTTTTTCAGTATTTTTAAAGTTTACGATTTATGAAGAAAAACAATGATGAAGATAACTTTTTTAAAAAAAATAATTAACGCAATTCACCGGCATTCGCGTCGGACATAGCTCGTTTGATAGCAGTGCTTGCAAGCATTTGATTTCTCTTCATGGACTCACTGAACTCATCACCTACAAAAAACATAACACCAAAATATATAAGATGGCATCACAATTATGGCGAGTCTACAAAAATTATTCCTACAGATGACTAGTTTGGCATTTTGTTTAAGGGTTAACAAGTTGCATACCTGGCCTTGGCATAAATTGTGCTGCACTCACGCCCGGAGTTCCAGCTGCCAAGAACGTCTCTGGCTAGAATAAATAATTAAAAACGAAAGTAGGTTACCACCAGATACAAGTGAACGTTTATCACTCAACACACGTCCCTGGGAGAGAAAGTGCACGTCTTGTGATGTGTAGAGCTGTACAGAATCACAGATATTTTACTCGTGTCTGATGAAATGAAGCTCACCGGTGGCCCTTCGGGAAAGAATGCTGGATTCACATGTGGTGCAACAGGAGCTTTGGGGAGTCCTGGGACCATACCTGTAATTCAACAAAAAAAGGGTTCAGCCTTAAACCTCTTAAAGTGACTTGCTTCTAATTTCTCTTTGCGATAGATTTACACTTTAAGGTTATTAGATTAAAGGAAATTATCACCCACTCAAGGCTGTGCTCTAAGGAAAATTGAATGGAGCCCAGTGCTCTGAAATTGTGAAATCCAGGGTGCCCAAAATATGCTTTTGATAAAAAGAAACTAAAATTCCCGAGTCGCCCAAGAGCAAAAGTAAGGCATCAGGGGCCACCAGGTACGGCTAGACCACAGCCTTGCCACTGAAGAAACTCTTGATTGTTAAAAAATTCTCCCTGTCAATACCTAGGCAAATGTATAGAGACGAGTATGGAGAATGTTTGTACTGATGTTAGAGTGTAAAGGGTTGTGGACAAATTTTGCAACCTTGCACGTCACAGTTTCAAAACAAATACTTTGACTTCCTCGGTTATATAAGAAGTTTTAAAAGGTGTCAGAACCAACAGCTAAGTTTCAGGAAACAAAGAAACGAATGACTAAATGAAGAAAGGAAGGATGAAAGCGAGGGAAGATAAAATATATACATACCTGCAGCTCGATGATCTACCATTGGACCGGCTCCTGGTGGAGGGGGTTGCTAAGGAACAGGACAATAACGTTAACTGCTGCTTGAATTTCTACAAAAGATGCTACTCCACAGGACATACTTTAAACAATGATAGAATATACATGATTTTCTTAAAAATAAGGAAAACTAAGCAAAGCACAACTCATGACTGAAGTAATCTTGCTGCATACAAATACATCAAAGCAAATGAAAAGAGGTACCTTTGGGGGGCGATGCTTACACAATAGACACATGAAAAGAAATACCTTTTTGCTTAATACGCGCATGAAAAGAAGAACCTTTTGGAGACAATGCTTACTTAATAGGGGCAGCTTTGTTGATTTTCTCTAGCCCCATTTTTTAACAGCAAATTTGATTTTCCAAGTGTAACGAAAATGAAAGGAGTCTCCCTTTGACATTTGTTCTGTCAGCGTGATATTGCTGTACAAAATCATCAGTTTCTCAGAGTTAATTCCCAGTTCTACAAACCAATCAGCAATCAGAGAGGAAATGAATGGGTAGGGTAAATTACAAATCAGAGGGAACTTAATTCAGGCAGGATTGGGAGGAGGGCAGGGGGGGCAGGGGGAAGGAGGGAGGCACTTATGGGGCTCAATGAGGATGACAAATATGTTTTGTAATGCTTGGAGATTTTCCTGATTTTTTTCAAATTCTGCAAGCCTCACCTGAGGAACATGCATCTGAGGTGGCATTGGACCAAGAGGTTTTTCCACTTGGGGAGGCTGCATCATTGGATTGTAAACAGGGGGATGCTCTCCATAAAAAGGTGGCATTCCAGGAGTAGGATGCCTCGGCATTGCCATTGGTCCGTGTCCTGTAACACAATATATAACAAAGAAATGCTTCAGTTCGGAATGAAGAAAAGCTTGTTTGCTTTGCACTTGTGGTAGTGCCATGGAAAAATTTTTTCCTCCCTCTAATTGAGTGTTGCAATTACCATGGTTTTCATTTACAGAATAAAAAAAAAAAAAAAAATGTGCACTAACATTTGGCACCTTTGAATACAGATACCAGAGCCAGTGATTCATCTCAGTGCACAGCTGTGGTTGACAAGACACCAAGTTTTTTATTCTTATCATTGCAACTTCCATATTATTGATGAAATGGGACAAACATCAAGGCTGCAAATAACTAATGGGCAGTCGCCGGTCACGTTGTCCGGTCAAACATGCTTTTACACGGACACTTTTTGGCCGGTCAAATTTTAAAAGTCGGAACTCTTGCGATAGTGAACCAAAATTGCACAATAATCCTTTTACAACTAAAAAACAACTGAGTCCAAGTCGGTCTGGCAATAAAAATTACAAGTCAATAATTTTACTACTCTTTACTGTAGAAGCAGCCTCGCATTGAGTACGTGGAACGGTTACGCAAGATACAACCGCAATTGTCCGTTTTACTTTACATCTGGCAAAATCACTTATAATTAAATATTACACTCAGAGCCCTCCTTTTTTAAAGTTAGAGTTGTGAACTTTTGTTAGAGTAAAAGAGTGGTCGGATTCTCCAGGTTTTAGGCCTTTTGCTTGCTTTTTGCACTTTGCAACAAATGCTACTTTAAAGTATTCTCGATGCAGCAAGATTATTCTTCGTGAGGGTGCTTTCCGATCATTCAATCAATCAAACAATCAATCACTTTATTTAAGAGTAAACGATGGTA